TATATATATATTATTGAAAAAAATCATAATTATATTTTATGAAATTATGAATATATGTACAAAATTAAAATCATAATAACTTTTATTTTCTGTTAATTTAAATTTGTTAATTTTAGTATTATAAATATAATCTAGTTTATTTATGTTTTAATTCTACAACTATAATTTTAATGCAACCAATCAAAACATTTCATTTATTTTAGGAAGTTTGACATGTCACATTTACATGTCATCAATTAAAAGCACTAATTGTAGTTGTAATATTGACAAATAAACTATTTTCAATATTGTTACTTCTCAAATAATAGATAGTGGATACGAGAACCATCTTTTACTTTATTTTCATTTTTTATTAGTTAAATATACTTTAGAAATGTTCTTAGCCAATAAAACAAATGTTGAGGTCGAAGTTATAATAACAAAATGGAATTCATGTCACATGTAATTGTTTTATCTACTAACAAAATGGAATTCATGTCACATGTAATTTGTGAAGAAAAAAGAAGTAAAAAACAACTTAAGATAATTCCAAGAAAAGTAAAACTATGGTTGGACTTGGAGCTCAGAAACAAAGAAAAAAAAAAACGGAAACACTCAGGAGAACCAGCAGTCCAGTCTGAACCATATCATATCTTAGAGATTGAAAGAAAGAGACAGAAGAAGAAATCTCTTACCAATCTACAGCCTCAACAAACTTTGTCCAAATCTGTCTCTTTCCTGTATTTTTTTTTTCTTGCGGTGCTACAAAATTCAGAAACAACTGTACATTCGCAATTAATGACCGATTGCTTCTTCACCTACTCTCTCTCTCTCTCTCTCTCTCTCTCTCTCTCTCTCTCTCTCTCTGTTAAGTAACAAGCCTATGCGGATCCCATCTAGGTCAAAGACTCTAACAAACTTTGCCTTTCTGAAAAACATGCCATTTTCTCGAGAATATCTTTGAATTTCCAACTTGTCAAACTCGAAAATCAGCTTCTGGGTCAAGCTTGATTCTTGATTTGGAAAAAGATGGGTAACAAGATTATCTCCATGATGAAGAAAGATAGCAGAGATGGATCCAAGAGCAAGAGAATGAACCGTTCGCAGAGAAAGTTGCTTGCTGATGAAGAGATGTTGCATCGGCGAGCTCTGTCCATGGCGATTCATCAAGCTCAGCTTTCTCAGAGATTCGATGGATCCATGTCTAGACGGGTCGGGTCTACAAGCACCAGGAAACAACGCACCCTCTCTGATCCGTTTTCAAATGGCAAGCAGGTCTTTACTACTGAATCTCAACACTTGACACAAAATTGTTAAGATTTTGTAGAAAAGTTCTAGGCTTTTACTCAATCCAATCCTTTTTTATATGATATAATGATATGATTATTTCGCCTTTTTGTTCAATTATAAATATTTGATTGAAAACAGGTGCTGGTTTTAGTGATTGTTGAGAACTTTTTCTATATATATGAGTAGAAAAGGTCATTGCAAAAGTGGAGAAGAGAAGATTCTTTTGTTGAAATTAGAGAAGATCTCTAACTTATCTGTTGGAAATGTTAACTTTATCCAGAAAAGAAATGTTCTTTACTCTGATACTGACACTGTGTTGGGACTAGATGCAATATAAAAGTATCTATGTACTGATAACTTTTATTATGCCTGAAGAACTTTTGTCTCTCCACTTGTTTATGACTAGATAAAATGAGTGAGAAGAGAAGAAACACTTGATTCTATGGTAGAACTGAATTTGCATACCTTTGTTGAAAATGAATCTTCTTCACTGATTGCTTTATAAACTGATGCTGCTATATATTGCTCTTAACTAGATTTCAGATGTTAAAATGACTATAGAAGCTTAATGTTGAATCATGATATCTACTATGATTCTTCAGGTACCTGATTTTTCATCAGAGAGCTTGACAGTGAAGAAATTCGTCCTTGTGCACGGTGAAGGCTTTGGGGCATGGTGTTGGTACAAAGTCGTTGCTTCATTGGAAGAGTCAGGACTGTCTCCTATTACAATCGACCTCACTGGATCTGGATTTAACATGACAGACACAAACACTGTCTCTACCTTGGAGGAGTATACAAAGCCATTGATCGAGTACCTCGAAAATCTCCCTGAAGAAGAAAAGGTTAGAAATTTGCTCTCTTTGTTTGAAGGAATATTCAAAACCATTTTGATTGGAAGAGTGAGAGGCAATGAGCGATGAGTGTATTGCTTTGTGCAGGTTATTCTGGTGGGTCATAGTACTGGAGGTGCGTCCATTTCATACGCATTAGAGCAGTTTCCAGAGAAAATCTCGAAAGCTATATTCGTATGTGCAACAATGGTTTCTGATGGCCAAAGACCCTTTGATGTTTTCTCTGAAGAGGTAACAATAAACACTCTCTGAGTTGCATTAGAGAGTAAACGAGATGTAAAGTTTTAAACCATCTACACTGCTACAGCTTGGTTCCGCAGAGCGGTTCATGAAAGAGTCGCAGTTCTTGATCTATGGGAACGGAAAAGACAAGCCTCCTACAGGGTTCATGTTCGAGAAACAACACATGAAAGGCTTATATTTCAATCAATCACCCAACAAGGTACACACTTCAAAAACACTAATTCTTGACCTTCACAACAGTGTTTTTAACTCTGTTGTTTGCGTTTGACCGGTTCTTGATAATCACCGGCCAGAGTCTGTGGCTTTTTGAAGCAATTCTTGTTTGTTTGGCCCGGTTCTTGAATCTTGATAATCACCGGCCAAAGTCTGTAGCTTTTTAAGTGATTCTGGTTTTTATATAAATGGTTTTCAGGATATAGCATTGGCAATGATCTCAATGCGACCTGTACCGCTTGGACCAATGATGGAGAAGGTTTCTCTGACCGCAGAAAGATACGGGAAAGGGAGAAGATTCTATGTTCAGACGCTAGATGACCTTGCGCTCTCACCAGACGTTCAAGAGAAAGTGGTGAGAGAGAATAGCCCTGAAGGAGTCTTCAAGATCAAAGGAAGTGATCATTGTCCTTTCTTCTCAAAGCCACAATCCCTCCACAAAATCCTTCTCGAGATTGCACAGATTCCTTAAGAAGATCTAAGAGACTACTGATTTATACATTTAAAAAACGACAATCACGTTCATTTTAATCTTCAAAAGTCAATTCCTTTTGTAATGCATTTTGTAGAATCGATACATAAATTATATATTTATACTATTTGAAGATAAAAAGTGGTGGTTGAATACACGAATGGCCCTGTATTTAAAAGATCTTGGAGATAATCAGATAACATATACAGGAAGAAGAATCAACAAAGAGGTGAAGACTAGGAATCGGAGACGAGAGAGAAAGGGGTCTGTATATATAACAACACTCTTATTATTCCAAGTCTATAATGCCGAAATTGGAGAGAAGGATCTTGACTTGGTCGACAAGATCTGAGCCTGTTGCATACTCGGTCAGCATCCCAACCGCGAAACCAAACATAGCCCACCTGCAAACAAACACCATTGCAAACACAGAGAGGTCTTTCGAGTTTAGTCTTTCAACCACAGTTCTTGTGTGTGTGCTCATTACAAAGAACTCATACATCAGGTTTCCGTCTACCTAAGATATATTATACACAGGCAAATTGGCAAAACAATGATGACAGAACTCATCAAGTTTAAAACTTTATGCTCTCTGTATGTCTGAATTTCAAGATTATGCTGCAGATGAAGAAGCATCATTGTTTAAAGAACCAGAGATACTCCCAAATGCAATTGAGAATCAAGATTTGAAATGGCAAGAACACATTCCCAACTAATAATCATATAGCATCGGAATGCACATAAGCTTATGAAGAAACCACTAAAACATCAGCAAATTGCAGACAGTTTTGTTCTCTAAACTACTAGTATCCAAGAAGAGCACCTTATAGTATCTGTTCGAGTTATTAGGACCCATCAATCAAATTCGAAGCTTGTGATCATGATTAAAGTATGAGGAAGTACCTTCCATTAGAGATCTCGTTTTTGGGCTGGAAACCAAAAAAGGGACCTTGACCTGCAGCTTCAAGCTTCCTCTGCTTAAAGTAATCCTGAAGCTCTTTAGCCTTCTGTCTCTGAAACTCCACCGTAATTCCACTCTTACCATCAGCAGCCACCGATATCTGCGGCGGAGACGGCGGAGGACAGGAAGACGGCGTAGGAGGAACAGGTTTTTGCGGAGGTGAAGGCTCTCGGAGAGTAGGAGGAGCAGAGGGTCTTCTCAAGGGACCTTCCGTCTGAGAACATCTGATGATGAATACACATGGCTTAGTCGTTGAGAATCTGAAAGACGACGAAGCTGTTGAATTAGATGAAGAAGAAGAAGATGGATTTAGAATCCTGATACATTGAATCGGCGAAGCCACTGACATCTTTTGTTAATTGGTTTCTTTAGTTGAAGATATGTTTGATGTTTCGAAGCTGTTCTGTAATGTCTTTTGGTAATGTCTGTGTGGATGAGATATGGCCAAGTCTCAGCATTTGCACAATTGGCTTTTGTCAAATGGCACTTTGGATATCATCCCACGCGCGTGGACGCCGCGTGGAGGTAAATAATTAAACTGTTATTTCACTGAATCAAAAGGCACAAACTGAAACAGAGTGGCTATGGGTTTTGTAAAGTTTATAACTTTTAACTTGGAAATCGAAGAATTAACAATGAATTTTTGTTTTTTGTTGGATATTCTTCTCCAAAAAGTTGTGGTGTGGATTTTATCATTACAGGACAGAGTAGCAAAGAGATGTTGTACATTGAATAATCTGTAACACAGCACAAAATTGACAAATCAAGTGGCTACAAAAGGTACACATCCAAAAGTTCCTCTTCTTATCCAATCTTTTTTGCAAACTATATGCATCTCTCTCTATATATATATATAACAAAGGTGTGCACAGGATAAGAGAGCACAAAGACTCGGTCGGAAAAAGAGGATCTACCTCAACTATATGAGCTGCTGCCACTGAAAAACCCTTTTGTTCTGAAAAAAATAGATCAAGGAAGAAGACAGTGGTCACATAATTGTGCACATACAGCTTTTGCCACTTCCATGATGAAACTCGTCGTCTGATTCATCCACTTCACTGCAAATTCAATCATAGCATAATGTTTTGAGCATATTCACCAGCATGGAATCCTAAAAGGAGCTATGTTTGTAGGTGATTGGTGTTAAATACTTGTAAAAAACCATTATGTCTGCTAGTAGTATACATTCAAGAAATGAATAAGTTTGAATAATTTCTTGGACATGTCAAACTGTTGCTAATTCATGCTGTATTATGTCTTAGGAAATTCAAACATATAAACTGTATAACCATCAGATCTAACACTATGATCTTAAGTTTACATAGAAGAAAGTAAGATAATGATAAGTAATGTTCTTAACCAATGTTAAGCAGACAGGGAAGGATTAAGTGAAGTCAGTTTGTTTTCTATAAAATACACCATAAATAAAATCTATCAGCCACACATTCATAGCGCAGTCTCAATAACTTTGACAAATCTTAATTTCATAAGAGATAGAATCCATACCTAGGCTCAAATTCTCTGACCTCAGCAATCTCAATACCGCAAGTGTCAGGCCACTGAACTTTCCTTCTGTCTGTGTGATCAAACACGCCGTCTCTACTCACATCATCAGCATCAGCAACAACAACATCGCTAAATGATCTTTTCTTCAGGCTGCTCTTAAGTGCAAACCTATTAGTTACCTCACAGTTATATTCCGCACTCGGTGCATCATCTTTCTTCCCCTCTCGATGAACTGAAGAGTCCGAAGGATTGACTCGGATAGGAGATGGATCCTCCTGTTTTTCGGCTTTGCCACCAAAGCATATAAGCGAAGTGCAGCCTCGTGAGATCCAGTTCTTAGACGAAGCTAACTCAAATTTGGTATCAGCTTCTACAGCTACCAAGTGATAATGGTTCCATGGTGATACTCTTACAGGTTTTTGCTCGTTCTTCTGGCCTAGTAGAAGAAGGGCTAAACCGTTGCTATACCCAGAAGCTGATGATGAGAAGAATCCTCCTCCTTCTGCTGCAAATAACATCTGTGAATAATGTTCATTTGCACATCCAAGAACTGGTTTTTTTTTTTGGGTGCACACTCCAATTCCTAATCCAGAATCCAGAAATCAAATCGTGTAAGTTTAGAGGAATTATGAAGACAAGAACACATGTTTATCAAAACATCATTTTTCTTTGTTCTCCGATTTGTCATGAAATGTCCGACTAAATGCAGCAAACAAAACCACAAAAATAGAAATTACGAACAGTTTTTTTGGATCAGCAACAAATAGTTTCACCATAAAGCTACGAAAATTACAAAACACTTCCCAGTGAGTTCCAATTTCTCGCACCTTCAGATTTAGAAAGTTCACTTGACGGATTCAAGTGAGTGTATCAAGTGGCGAAAAGGGGAAGGGACTCACGATTCACCTGACGGATCTGAGAGGCGAAGAAGCGATACCGGAGAGAATGCCGGCGAAAGAGCTGAGAGAGAGCACCGGCGAGAGAGAGCAGAAAAAAAACGAATTTTTTTTTTTAAAGGAGAACTTTGATGGGTTTGCTTTGCGATGAAAAGGCGAGAGACGATGAGTAACCAAGCGGCGCGTGAGTGGGTCCCGTTTTGATTTTTTTCACACATGTTAGAAACCGACCCGACAACGAATACTTTTGCATTTTCCGATGATTGATTTAAAATCTGCTACTGATTTTTCGAATCAATTCAAATCACATTTTCAAATGTCGGTACTTTCTACAAAAAAAAATTTTAAAATTTTAAAATATTTCGATCTGATTATTGAGGAGGACGATCAATCAAGTAATCAACAACATGAACCGGATCACACTACGGATGAGTTAACACATTCAATTGAATTTAATAAAGGGTATTGTTAAATAAATCGAGGAGGGTAAAAAGTAAAACCAAGATTGAACATGGTTTTGATTGATTGCAAGTGACCCAAATCCCCCCTACTTTATCTGCATACAATTTTTGAATTTTGGTTTTTAAATTCTGTGGCACATCCTTACATTCAGTTATGTAGTAATTCATATTGTTCTCAAGATAATCTGGAAAAAAAACTTGCACCGATGATAGAAGATTAGGCAATAGGTCAATAGCCACATTTGAAAAAGCACATGACAAACAGATTCAGATCTTGGCATTACAAATTTGACACATAAAATCTGCGTGTAATAAATTAGAAGAGGGTGTAATAGTAATTAACTATGATTGAAACTAAAAATATTTAAAAAATAAATTAAAAGAAAGGAACGATTTTGCTGGAGGTGATTGCTACAACTCTCGCTCCACGAGCCTTACGCTTCCCAACTGCCTTTTCAGATCACTTTTTCCTCACCACCATCACTCACCACTCTCCTCGTCGACGGCGCCGGTGTTCCGCTCCGAACATTTCCTCCGCCTCATTCATTTCCAATCGCTCTATTCAGGTAACTCCAAGCCGTATTCTCGGATTCTTCTTCTGCTTCTTCTTCTTTTCTCTTGAATTTGTGTGTTCTCCTCCGATTTGATCAATTTCGAGGGAAAGGATCGGTCGTTTCCAATCACTGATTGGCTCTGTTTGAGATCGGATCTTACGAAAATTCGTTCTGATTCCAATCTCCCGAGCCGGATCCGATCTGATTGAAATTGATCGAGCTCGATTTTTGTTTTCTGGGTTTGATCGTATAACATTCAAATTAGTTTTGATTTATACTTACAATTGCGATCGAACAAAATGGGTTGATCATGTATGAATTGATATCTAAGTTAAAGTTATACGCTTTTGTGATTTTGGGATTGATTTTTGTAAATGGAACCGTCTTAAGCTTTAGCGGAAATCGTGAGCGAGTCTCTGGAGAATGGGAGGTTGAAGAAAACAGAGATTTGCTGATTGAGTAAGAGAGTAATTTTCAAAAATGGCTCCTGTTAGTAAAGCCGATAAGAAAGCAGCTGTTGATGCTGCTGCTTGGATGTTCAATGTCGTCACTTCTGTTGGTATCATCATTGTCAATAAAGCTTTAATGGCTACTTATGGTTATAGCTTTGGTATGATCATCTCTCTTTTGCTTCTTAAGCTTAAACCTTTGCGCTATTATTTCTTCTCATTGTTTACTTATATGTCTCTTCAACTCGCTGCAGCTACAACCTTAACCGGTTTACATTTCGCTACCACAACTCTGATGACCATTGTTCTAAGATGTCTTGGTTACATTCAGCCTTCTCATCTCCCGTTTACGGAGCTTCTGAGATTTATTCTGTTTGCAAACTTCTCCATCGTTGGAATGAACGTTAGTCTTATGTGGAACTCTGTGGGGTTTTATCAGGTAATGAATCAAAACTATCTATCTCTGTGTGTTTACGCAAAGAGAAAGAACATCTCAATCTTGATTTCAATTGGGTCCTGTATGTTGCTTGTCAGATTGCAAAGCTCAGCATGATTCCTGTATCCTGCTTGTTGGAGATGGTATTGGATAAGATCCGTTACTCAAGAGACACAAAGCTTAGCATAGGACTGGTTCTCGTTGGTGTTGGAGTTTGCACTGTTACTGATGTTAGCGTGAATAGCAAAGGCTTTCTTGCTGCTTTTGTTGCTGTGTGGAGTACTTCTCTACAACAATACGTAAGTCTTCTCGCTCGTACAAAGTAACATATAGCTTCTTTATTTAGCTCAAACCTAAAATCGGCCTCGTTTGTACATGGATGCAGTATGTACATTACCTTCAGCGCAAGTACTCGCTTAGCTCATTCAACCTATTGGGACATACCGCCCCAGCGCAAGCCGCAACATTGCTTGTAGTTGGCCCGTTTCTTGATTATTGGCTGACAGAGAAAAGAGTAGACATGTATGACTACAACTTGGTCTCTGTGGTAAGCTCCATAAACCTCAATAAGTTTCATCCCTTAGTCTTATTGACATTAGATTCAACTTGACTCTCCTCACAAAAAGAAACTTTATGAATCTTTAGTCTGATTATCATTGCGAGCCAAGAGCATTCTATACGAGTCTGTTACATGCAAGTTCAATGCCTGTGTCTTAGTTAACTCAAAAACAGTTTTCTCAATGCTTATATATACTCTTTAAGGCCAAATCTTGTTGCTACAAACACGGTATAAACTCATTTGAAACCTAACAAGTTTTCTTTTTGAATTCTGCAGCTGTTTATAACACTCTCGTGCACAATAGCGATAGGAACCAACCTAAGCCAGTTCATCTGCATCGGGAGATTCACAGCGGTTTCGTTCCAAGTCCTGGGACACATGAAGACGATCTTGGTGCTGGTAATGGGATTCTTCTTCTTTGGTAGAGAAGGTTTAAACTTGCATGTGGTTGTTGGAATGGTTATTGCAGTAATTGGTATGATCTGGTACGGTAATGCTTCTTCAAAGCCAGGAGGCAAAGAGCGACGAAGCTATTCTCTTCCAACGACTCGTCAACAGAAACTTGGAGCTGCTTCTGATTCTGATGACAACGAAGACAAAGCCTAGTAGTAAGTTAGTATATGATCAGGAACATCACATAGTTTACATCTCTGTTCTGAGTTCTTTTCTTTTAGTTTTATTTATGAAGATGATGATCCTCGTGCTAATTTTGCTTGGCTACGATGAAAAAAACGATTTTTTTTCACAAAGATGATAGAATTTTTTTGTAATGTTTTTTTTTGCGGAATCAAGATCCATTTACATCAACGCATAGCTTTACATCTTATAAGAAAAATTTCTTTTAACTAGTTAGGATGATTATTGCCGATAAAACGATATAATTAAAATCAAATATGAATTTTCAAATGTGAAAGCATTTATTGGATATTACCGCATAATCTGATACCAAGCAAAAAGATACCATTTTTCAAAACAGTAATGCAAATTTGGAAATTTTGCTAAAGAAAACAAAAGATATAACTAGAGAAATGAAAATAAGATCTGGTGACAAAATAGTCTTAAAATGTAATAAAACAGCAGTAAAGATATCTCATAAAAAGCCCCAAAATCTAGTAGTGCAAAATAACAAAACTTAAAATAAGTCCTTATCAAAGATGAATTCAAGTTGAAACAAGCAACATTTGCTTAACGCTTCTTGGACACACCAACAGTCTTTCCTCTGCGACCAGTTGTCTTGGTGTGCTGTCCACGGACACGGAGACCCCAGTAGTGTCTCAGACCACGATGGTTCCTACACGTTGTAAGAAAAAATGCAAAATCATCATTCAATTCAAACCGCCCAAGAGAAAACACAGTAGTAACGAGTTATATTGATTCGGATCAGTATGATGAGTTTACCTGATTTTCTTCAGACGCTCAAGATCATCCCTGAGCTTCATGTCAAGGGCATTGGAGACAACCTGAGAGTACTTGCCATCCTTGTAGTCCTTTTGCCTGTTCAGGAACCAGTCTGGGATCTTGTACTGTTTTGGGTTGGCAACAATTGTCATGAGGTTGTCGATCTCAGCTGCAGACAACTCACCAGCCCTGAACAAGAGTGGAGATCAAAACAGTAAGTGCAAATTAGAATACACACAAGAAAGTTAAACTGCACTAAAACAGCTTTTGGCTGAACAAACAACACACTGACTATTCTACACAGACAAACAACTCATAAGAACCATAAGAAGAGCCTAAGCTTTTGACAAACATTTTCATTTAAAGAACAGTTAAGATACCGAAGTGGATATCATTCATATCATGACCTAGATTGCAAAAGAAAAGACTCAAAGAACACTAATCTGTTCGATACAAGAGATGTACTCATTTCTATGCGAATTTCCTAAAGTTTGGATATTTTTGAAAGACAAAACACAAAAGACGAGAAAAGCACACCTCTTGTTCATGTCGACATCTGCTTTCTTGCAGACAATGTTGGCCAATCTCCTACCAATACCCTTGATGGAGGTTAGGGCAAACATGATCTTCTGCTTACCATCAACGTTAGTGTTGAGCACACGCAGAATGTGCTGGAACTCCTCATTTGCAACCAGAGACTACACAGTAACAATCAGAAAAACAAAACGAAAAATCAGTAACAAAGATTCGAAAGATGCTTTTGAGTCTTCACTCATTTTTAAATCTCGATTCCACGAATACTAATCTTAATTAAAACTGTTTCTAACTTCTATAGTCGGGGAATACGCAAAATAACATTGGAGTTAAACGGAATCGATGCGTATAAGGGCAAGCTAATACTATTAGAGAACGATGGAAAATAGTAAATCAAGTAAGAGATCTAAGAGATGATAGTTTTTTTCGGAGAAAATGGAAAAGAAATCGTAAACCCTAATTACCATTGTTCGATCTGAAGAGAAAGCTGCTGCCTGAGAGAGGAGAAGATTGAGAAGCTCTCGCCGTTTATAGCACTCTCTTGGCCAAATGGAGTCGCACACTAGGGTTTCTTTAGAGGTTTATATGTACCTCTTCAGATGACCTGGACGCTCTTTCTACATAACCCATGATGATGCAGTTGGGCCTAAACTATTTCGTTTTATATGGGCCAAACTCTATGAAAATAGTGTTTTACATCGATTTATTTTGTTATTTTTTCACTTGTCTAGGCCCAGAATTTGTGGGTAATTGATACCAGAAAAAAAAATATATACAGTGTATTAATATCATATTTAATATGTAAAGACAGTAAAACCTTTGTGAATTATATAATGTTGGGATCTCAAAATTTTATTAATTTATAAAGTTATTAATATAATGTTATTTTAGAGATATTTTTGGTTCAAATTCTTAATATTTATTAAAAGACAAAAAAAAAGTTTTGAACAATATAAAATTTATTCCAAAAATATCATATTAATACATTTGGAAAGTAAGTCAAACAATATTTATAAACTTAAAAAAACAATATAATCACATTTTATAATATTGCATTATTTATATATGTCTAAATGTATAATTATTAATTTATCTAATTACAGGAAACATGTTTTATATATGAATTCTAAAAAAAATATTAAAAGAAACAATTATTAAAAAAAATTATTATCCTAGGCCCTTTAATAAAAAAATTATTATCTTATCTTCTCAAAAAAATTAATTTTTACATTGACTCGACTCAAAATCAACAAAATTTATTAATTTATTAAATATTAATTTATAAAAAATTTACTGTAATTATTACAAGGTTCAAGTGTCGTTCGAACCCAGTCTCAGATTTGGGTTGGATTTACATTTTAAGAAAATGTATAATGTTTTTGGTGCTAGATGTTTAAGCATATTTTGAATCAGACTTAGAGTTAGAACTTTTTTTCTTTAACAAAGGAAACTTAGAGTTAGAACTTTTCTTTTTTTTTTTTGGTCAAATAGTTAGAACTTAGGCTCTAGATGTTTCAGCATATTTTGTCTATATTCAGACTTAGAGTTAGAACTCTTTTTTCTTTTCTTTTTTGACAAGGGGTAACTTAGAGTTAGAACTTAGAAGCTTTATTATGGATGATGTTGTCGACAATCTTTGATAAGAGATCAGTTTACCAGACTTTTGACATGACATGTTCATAGAAGAATGGTGGGTATGTCTTCTCCAATCTTTACATAAAAATTGGTGTGATTTGTGATAGGTTTCACATATTCTCTTTTTTCTTTAATTTATCGTTTTATGAATATGTTTACACTTTACAATACTACCTTAGTTTAAATCAAACTGTAAAACACATATTTATTAACAATTAGCTATCTTCAAAGTCCTGTATTTGACCATCACACACGTCTTCAATTAAACATGCATTCAGGTCATAAGCAATCTGCTCAACCTCCGCAGCAATCCCCTCAGTCTCCTCTTTAATTAATTCTTCAAACAAAGATAATATTAACATAGGCAAAGTGGAGTCGTTGTCAAAGGTTAAGTCGTTGTCGACAAAAACAGTGGTCGAGGAAGGCTGAGTCATCGATGGAGATTGGAGACATGATAGAAGCTCACTGACCCATATAGTTCAAGAAAAGAATCATGCTCCTTGAAAACCATTCTCAAATTCTTCCAAGAGCATTCAAAAGCACTCAAAACTTGAATCAGAAAATCCATCTTCTATAATATTCTTTCCTCACAAGAAAGAAAATGTTTTTATATTAGAACATATATTGATACATCAATCAAGAAAATTTCATTCATGTAGTTATTATATCGTTTAGGTGATTTGAGAATGATGTTTTACTTTTGATAATTTGGATTATCATAAAAAAATAATTATTTCATTAAGGTCACCACAGTTAAACTTTTCCAAATTGAAACATATGCAGTGTCACCACTACATTTCAAATTGAAACATATGTAGTGTCCCCACTACATATATAAAAAAAAGAGATTTTTAATATAAAAAATTCAAAACTGCAAAAAGAGATTTTGAATATAAAAAATTCAAAACTGCAAAAGATATTTTGAAGAATTGATAAATTAAATACCAACAAAATAAATCCTATCTGTTAGAGGAGAAATGAGCATATTTTCTAAAAGGTTTTCTCTAGCAGTAACTTAAGTCCATCAAGTCCACCGCGCCGACCTAGCTCGGATTAAAGAAAATCTCTTGAGGATAACCTTCGAAGACCGGAGACATCGGATCAACTCGAAGGAGAAGGGAGAATTTCCATATTCATTGGAGAATAAGAGATTTTTCCATATCACAGATATGGAAATATTGACGAAAGGGAAAAAAGAAAAGGAGTTCGGAGAAACCGACCTCCTATTCCTATAAATAAAGAGACCTCGAAGCTAAGAAAACCAACTCATACATTCTAGAGAGCAGCAGAGCTAAAACCAGAGACTCCAACGCTTTCTAGTTTACTTCGCAAACACCTTTTTCACTTCGGCATAACCTCTCGGTTATACTTTTCTTTGTAATCATTTCGCTTACTTGCTATTTAATAAAAAAACCTTATTCTCTGAATCCCACAACTGTTAATCAAACCCTAGTAGTGGTAATTTTCTGGTTCAACAGTTGGCGCCGTCTGTGGGGACTAGGAGAATAAATTCTTAAAAAAAACTAGCAAGAAAAAACCGAAGCGATGAGTCTCCCGATCAACAACAGCGATCTCATCCGCAACGACGATGACACCACCGTGCATACTGAGACGTCCGATCTCAGTTCTACCACTGCGATCCTACCACCCACGGGAGAACAGGACCACACGACATTCAACAGTAACTGCATGATCTTAGGAGGAATATTCAACGATCCCAGTTCGCTGGAGGAAATAAAACAACACGAAAAAAAAGCAGCGGAAGCAAAACGATCTATCCGCCCCGAGGCACGGAAAGCCAATAGATTTCACAGCAGGGGACCAGCACAGCTCGCACGCGCCGCACGTCGACCCACTGGTCATAACTCTACAGATTCACGAAAGCACGGTCACTAAAGCTCTGGTTGACGGCGGGAGTACCATCAACATCATCTTCAAGGACACTTTGTCAAGGATGAACATTAATAAAAACAAGATAATAGCGATAAGAAAACCATTGACGGGATTCGCAGGCGACACCTCTTACGTTGGTGGCATGACCAAGAAGGCAGAATTTGCAGTCATTAGCTGCCCAACCATCTATAACGTCATCTTCGAAACTCCATGGATTCACGCCATGAAGGCCGTCATCTCGACGTACCATCAATGCGTCAAATTTTCAACTCCTACCGGTACGTTCACATTGCAGGGCGACCAATCAACAGCACGAATGTGCCTTCTCAGCGAAAGAAAAATCAGGTCGGCGACTACCTGCGCGAAGACTTAGATCTGCGTCTTCCCTTCCACAAAAGACCAAAACCCGAGCCAGTTATACAGGTAAGCATCGACGAGCAACACCCAGAAAGAACTGCGAGCATTGGCGGTGACCTCGCAGAAGATATAAAAACGGAGCTCGTCAAACTTTTACGTGACCACGTGCACTTGTTTGCCTGGTCCATGGAAGATATAAAGGGAAACTACACCAGAATCACGTCACATAAACTAAACGTAGATCCTACGTTTAAACCAATTAAACAAAAACGCAGGAAACTCGGTCCAGAGAAGGCATAAGCCGTAATCGATGAAGTGGAAAAACTACTCGGCGCCAGATCGATTACCGAGGTCTAATACCCTGACTAGTTAAACGGTAAGTGTAGGGTCTGCGTCGACTTCACCGATCTCAATAAAGCTTGCCCAAAGGACTGCTTTTCGCTTCCTCACATCGACCGATTGGTCGAATCAACAGCCGAAAAACAACTCTTATCCTTTATGGATGCCTTCTCTGGGTACAATCAGATCTTTATGCATCCCGACGACAGAGAAAAGACGGCATTCATCACCGATCGCGAAACATATTGCTATAAAGTCATGCCCTTCGGACTAAAAAACGCAGGCGCCACACACCAACGGTTGGTCAACAAGATGTCTGCAAGTCAGCTCGGCTGTACGATGGAAGTTTATATTGACGATATGCTGGTCAAATCCGCAATCACCAAAGATCACGTCGGTCACCTCAGGGACTGCTTCAAAACCCTCGAAAAATACAGAATGAAATTGAATCCAGCTAAATGCACATTCAGTATAACCTCAGGAGAATTCTTGGGCTATGTTGTCACCTAAAGGGGAATAGAGGCAAACCCAAAACAAATCTCGGCAATTCTGGATCTCTCGTCGCCCAAAAATAGTGCGAAGTACAACGACTAACCAAAAGAATCGCCGCTCTAAACAGATTTATCTCGCGTTCAACCGATAAATGCCTCCCCTTTTATCAGTTACTTCGAAGTAATAAATGCTTCGACTGGGATGACAAATGCGAAGAGGCATTCACGCAGCTGAAGGAGTACCTAAACACCCCACCAATATTATCTAAACGAGAGGATGGCAAGACTCTGTACCTCTACATCGCAGTTTCAACAGCAGCAATGAGCAGCGTCCTTGTCATGGAAGAACTTGCATATGCAGTGATCATCTCGGCATGGAAACTGCGATCCTACTTCCAATCTCACACTATTGTCGTCTTCACAAGTCAGCCACTTCAAAGCATTCTGCACAGCCCGAGCCAATCTGGCCGAATGGCTAAATGGGCAATAGAACTGTCTGAATATGATGTCGAATACCGCGCTCGAACTAGCGCCAAATCTCAGGTCTTAGCAGACTTCATGATCGAAATACCACCGGATCTATTAAATGATAAATCACCCACCGAAGATTGTTGGAATTTATACGTCGATGGTGCATCCTCAAAGCAAGGATCCGGAGTTGGTATTTGTTTGAAATCACCAGCAGGAGAAGTCCTTGAACAATCATTCAAGCTCGGCTTCCCTGCTTCAAACAACGAAGGCGAATACGAAGCCTTACTCGCAGGGATTCGGCTCGCCAAAAAAGTAGTAGCAAAACATATTCATGCCTTTTGTGATTCTCAGCTCGTCGCCAGCCAATTCAAAAGAGACTATTATGCAAAGAACGAGCGAATGGACGCTTACCTGAAGCAGGTTCAAGAAAAA